TTTCCTCCTTTGAAAGGAATTTTTTCCCCAATTTTCATTGCTTGAATATTTTTCATATTTTTCCTGTAATTCTTTACATTTTTGCTTCCCCAGCTATATGGGGTATTTTGTTTACAGTGTAGCCATTGTTTCCAGTGCAGTCGACACATATTGTGAGAAAGTCTAGGTAATCCAAAATGGACCTTTTAAAGTGGATTTGTTTGCTGCTTCTGCATTAAACGCCCAAAATCCAGAGCTGCTTTTCTATCATCAGAGATCCCGTTCCACAGGAACTGCTGACACTGCCACACTGCCTGCTTCACAGTGTGGGGTTTCAGCCAGTAGCACCTGGGGAGTTCCATCCCTGTTGTACCACCGCACAATGTAAGAACACTGCAAACCTTTGTAGGAAATTGTGAGAGTGGGGAGAACAAAGGTGGGAGGATTCTTCCTTTTATGTCTTCCATTGAAAGGTTTAGTGGGGACTTAAGGCTATCAAACTGTGGCATTCTCTCTGTAGTTTCCTTGGGGTATTTTTGGTGTTTTGGCCCAGTCTTAAGTGTCCAGCTATAAACATTTCAAAATTAGTCTGATACAGTACTAAAATCCCTGTACAAAGGCTTGATCTGCAGGCACTATGGAGTTACTCAGGCAAGTCAGAGGGACAGCTTGTGTTTTACTTGTCCTGAGAGCTGTGAAACTCAAGGTGCTGGATGGTTAGTCTAGAAGCTCTGTCGAGCACTGTGCTCCTTCCTACACAGTGTTAAATGACATAAAGAGCAATTTCTAAAGGAAGTCCAACTGCTGAATCTATATGAAATGCAAAAAAATAAGATTTTTTTATTGAAAGAGAAACCTGATAGGCTATTATTTCCTGCTGACACAGACAATTCTTTTCTTGACTATATTGGATAGACCCTGTGGAAAGAAATACAAGGTGAATACACATGAGTAATATCAGAAATGCATCAATGATGTGATAAAAATATTGTTCAATATGGATATTTTGGAGAAAACAATCTCTAAAATTTCTCATTGACAAGCTGTGCTTTTGCACCAAAACATTTTTTTGTTTCCACTTTCTAGAAAAATAAAATGAGCCAAAAAAAAAAAAAAAAGCAAAATCCTCTCGTTTTATATTTAGTAAAAAAAATCTACTAAAAGAAAGGTGAAGCAAAAGCCTTTCTGTTTTTGCGAAAGAGAAGTTATTTGGTACCAGATTTGATGAGCCCTAATTATTAGTTCAGTGGGTTTCCTGCTGATTTGGCCTGGTGTCAGAGAGCATTAGAGCATTAGAGAAAAAGCTGCTTCTCTTAAATTCCTTTAAGACTCTGAATAAGTTTTAAATATAAAACTTATAAATATTATATATGTCCCTCTGCCCAGGACATGGTATCACACCGGGTCATTTAGATCAAGTCATCTCTAGAGTTTGCCCTCTGCTGTCCCCAAGCATTTTGTCCAGGAACAGCACTGGGCTGTCTCATAGAAATTATCTCAGTTCTGACTTCAGGAGATCAATCATCCAGCAGCGCCTTGCTGTAAGTGCATGACCTCACGCTGACTCACCAGAGCCTGCTCAGCAAAAGGTCCCACAGTAACACATGCTGCCAGGAAATGCCTGTGCTCCGTGATGGTTCATCCAGTGCTGCCCACCTACCTGTGGGATGGAGCTGGGCATGGAGGGCTTCCTCCTCTCCCACTTACTGTCATGTCACTCGTTTCCCATCACAGGGCCTTTCAGTATTACACAGTTCAAGCAGCTTGAGATGCGTAACCACAAGCCTCTTTGATCTGAGGAATGTGCCTGGGTATGTTATAGGAACTTTTGCTTTATGTTTACTGACCCAAATCAATCCTAGCTTGCAAATTGAAAGAGATGGAGCCTGAAATCTGGCAAGTTGGTTGTTTTTTATTTCCTTCTGAAAAGTCTGTGCTTTGCTTGGGTAAAGAGGGCTTGAGTACTGACTTTTAGTCAGTAATCAAAAAATGTGATTGCTAGAAAAATGCAAATATTTTGGTGACGGAACCCTAGTCCTTTTCCTTCTTAACAAAAGAGGCATAATGCTGGGGCAGCAGTGCCCTGCAAAAGGCAGCATTCAGAGAGGCTTGTGATGGACACTGCTCATCTTCCTGAACAAACACAGACCAGTCCCCTGAAGCCCCCCCAACATATAATTGGTAGCAGCTCAGTGCAAGGAGGTAGAGGGGGCTTCATCCCTGTGGGCTGCTCACATCTTCCCATGCCCTCTCCCTCCATATCCTGAACTCATGGGGGATGAGAAATCAGGACCTTTTCAGCAGCCTCAGTGAAGTCCCCTGAGTTCCCTGCACCTTTGCAGCCTGACTTGCTCTCATTTCTGCTTTAAGGTGTGGACATCTATTGACTGATGGTGTTGTCAGCATTCCGAAGGTTATGTGTGCAAGGTTTTGGGGAGATGTAGTAAGTTGTTCTTGTTATTCTTTAGAAATGTACAGTCCCCTTTTTGGTGGGCAGATGTCATGAAACCAGGAGTCCTCCAGGCCATGCTGAGGGAGGGGTGCTTGGTTAAGGGATGTGTCTGGAGATCATGGTGCTCTGCCTGGCTCTGCTGCTGACTTGTGTGTGGCAAACCACTTCCCAGCTCACCCACCTCACCCTGCTATCTGCTGGAAGCTACTTCAAATGCAGTGAAAAGCGGATACTACATGCAGCACAATGTAACACCTGCATTTTTACTTGTGTCAGAAAGCTTGGTGCAGGTGCCCTGAAAATGTGGAGTTTTTTAAACAGCTCCCTCTGCTTCAAAATGTCAAGCAAACCCAAATTAACTCAGAAAGCCATATTAACCACATAAAACATATACATATGCAGGGGATGTACTCTGTTTGGCCTTTCTGTCAGCAACACATCTGAAAGCAAAATGTGCTGCCAAGTCATGTATTCTAATGACCTGTGGACTTCCCCATTTCCCAGGAAGATGAATTTGAGTGTACGAGCATGGTTTCTAATAAACACACTGACAGCAAAGATGATGGTAAAAGGAAGTGCAACTTACCTTTTTTTTGTTCCAAAGGAAAGTACAGTGACTCATGTGTCAGAAGGAACATACTAATCCAAGACAGTCTGTGCTCTTTGCAGTGACCACCAAAACCCCTCCCCAGTGAGGGACACCTAGTGACAATTAATTACTCTTGCATGCACATAGTCTGTAGACTTATACAAGTAGGCATCAACATGTTTGTCGTTATGAAAACATGAATCTGTGATTCAAAAGCTATGCTGGAAAGTTAACTTGAAATATGAAATTGAATTTTCAGTGTCAGAGGGAGAAATTACAAACTTTATTTGTAAGGGCTAAACTCAGTGACCTGATGATGCAATGGAAGAGTCGAATGGAAAAGTGGGTTAGGAGGAAATATGTATTTCTCAGTTAAACTCTTTTCAAGCAATTAAATTATATTCAGAGTAGACTTTTTCACATCTGGAGTTGACTGGGTAGAGCTTTTACCTATAGGTAAGCCTGAAACTGAAGGGCATAGAGGCCACAGTAGAGTATTACATGCCCATGGACTTCTGTACATGAAACAGCATGTAATGGAAGATCTCATAAATCATTCTTCCTCACTTAACTGGAGAATTAGAGTTCTCAGTTCTCTCTGCCCTTTGTAGCTTCCCAAGGTATCACAATGTGTACAGGCATTATTTATTATTTTCTCACTGGCACACACAGGTATTTCTCAGATGGCATTGTCTTGATGCCTCTGGGGCCATTGCACTTCTGCCCGAGTGCAGAAAGGCAGAAGGTGAGCTGTGTTTCACTGCTTATTTTCCTGGCTGAAGCAGGGACAGTGTGTGCTGGCTCTGCAAGGGCTGCATGTGCATGCTCCTCGCTGTGTGCCCCTTTGGTAATGATTCTATGGAATCACAGAATCATTAAGGTTGGAAAAGACCTCTAAGATGAAATGTACAGGGCTAAATATAGGACAGCTGCCCTTGTTTTAAAAAGTGATCTGTTCTTTTATGAACTGTGTGCAAAGCAACTCTTCTTGAGGGCATCTGCATCTTACTTGAGGGCATATGTACCAAGTCCAGGCTTTTCAGCTCATGGGACTGACATCTCTGTTTTCTGTGCATGGGGTGGGAATTTGTGTGCACAGCCACAGCAGATGAGTAGATCAGGCAGACAGAGCCATGAACCTCTTTTCCTTCAGTAGGCCCACAGGGCTGGCAAGCAAATGGAAGTATCACTGTAAATAGTCAAGGAAAAGAAAACAGAGTTACAATTCTCAGAGCAGTGTTGAGTGGACTGTATGTTTTATGAGAGATGTTTCAGAACATAAACAACAAGGGCTTAATGTATTAATGTACATCTTTGTGAAATAATCTGGCAGTAAGTACATCATGGACCAGACCCTTGGCTGACATAACCGGACATGGCTCCAGTGAACTCATTCTCAGTTTTCAACAGGTTAATGTCTAACATTTTTAATCATACACATCTCTGGCCAGTATAAACCTACATAAGCTAAGGATGCCTTGATCTTGTGTGTGCCATTATAATGTGTTCAAGGACTTTTGGACTCTACAGGTGTCAAAAATATTTTTTGGATCCTATACCAAAACTGGGAAAATGAAAACTGCACCACCGTGTAGGCATAAGGGCAGATTTCATGACTGCATTTCTATCTGCTGTCTAAAATACTTTAGATCTGTCTGGCACAGCTAGATTGGAGTAGATCTGGAGCAAAGGGGCTTTATCAACTACAGTTCTGGCTATCTCCCTCCCTCATCACACCTGTGAGGGGGAAGGGGGTCTGTGATGAACAGGAGGCAGCAGTGCTCGAAAAATGCTGTGGTGGCAGGGAGAGTCACCACTTAAAGCCTATTTGCCTACAGTTCTGCACAGCTTCATTGACCAAAAAAAGCCCAGAGGACCTTTCTGAACTAAGCAATGCCTACCTGCCTTTTGCCTTTCAAGCAATTAAATTATTTCTTTGGTATTCATCTAATGATTTTTTTTTGTGTCTGTTTCTTTCAGCTTCAAGGCTCCTTGAAGAGAAAGTTGGTGGTAAATCTGTCACCTGTCAACAAAAGGTCCAATGGTGTTTCAGAGAACTCTTTCCTTGACATTAAGAGGATAAGAGTGGGTGACAATATCCCAGTGGGACAAGGTGGACAACATGTTAACAATTGCCAAAGCCAGTCAATGTCAGGAACTATGACTGTGGGGCAAGGATCACAAAGAAAGGCCAGCAGCCTTGCAAACAATACCCATGCCAGTGGGAATGACATGTTTAATATGACTTTGAAAGAGGTAAAGAAAGAACCAGGAGAAACAATGTCCTGCAGCAAACACTTAGATGGCCAGACATCCCATGAGAACATGTTCCCTAACAGATATGGGGAAGACTCATGGGACCAAATGATGGATCTTGAGCTTCAGGAACTGTTTAATGAACTGACTAACATATCGGTGCCACCAATGAGTGATGTTGAGCTAGAGAATATGATAAATGCCACGATAAAACAAGATGAGCCATTCAACATTGACCTTGGGCAGCAGAGCCAGAGGGGCCCTGTGAGATCGCTGCAGATGGATAAGATGGTGATAAAAAGTGAGTATGCAGCAGGCATGAATCAGGCTCCTGTGGGCTCCCCACAGATGAGGCCTTCTTCTACAGGTCCAGCCTTCACGATGGCTCCCACTGCCATGTCTGCCTCTTCACCCGTCCCGTCGGTGCCTCAAACACAGGTGTCACAGGTTTCTTCTGCATCCACTCGGCCATTGCCTAATTGGCAAGGTGAGGTGTCTCATGCACAGCAGCTCAAACAGATCGCAGCCAACCGGCAGCAGCATGCCTTGATTCAGCAGCAACAGCAGCAGCAGAACCAGACAGCCAACTGGTCCACTCTGTCTCCATCAGGACCTTCCCCTGGACCCTTTGTGCAAGAGAAAATCCCCAGTCCCTCTTTTCGCCAGCAGCAGTTCAGCCCACAAAGCTCAGCCATGCTTGGGGTGCCAGTGAATGGAAACCAGACAAAAGGGATGAACAACTATGTTTATAAACCAACCACTCCCCAGAGCAATCCCATGGACATAATCATGCAACAGAAGCCTCAGGACCTCAACAGAAACTTTATCAGCAGTGCGCAGCCACCTCTAGAGCAGCATCATGGCAACACAAAGCCTTTGTTTCACTTTAACTCAGAGCAAACAAACCAGCAGATGCCTTCGGTTTTGGGTTCCCAAAACAAGCCTGCCCTTCTGCACTACACCCAGCAGGCACAGGGTTCAGCTCCTGTGCAGCAGCCGCAGCAACAGCAGCAACAACAGCCACAGCCACAAACTGCTCAGCCTCTCCCAAACCAGTCTCTCCAGAGGCCCCCTAATGTAACCCTAGCAATGCAGCAAAAAATGATGCTTCAGAAAATGCAGCAAAGCCAGCAAATCTCAGGTTTGCAGTATCCAGTCTCTCAGCAGCACAGACAGGTAAGACAAATTCCTCCTTCTTTGTTACAGAATTGTTCTGGTCCAAGTAATAAAAAGGCTTTTCCTGGCCTCATTCCTGCAGGAGATGTGTCCTAGTGGCACTTAATGATCCTCTCAGCATGCACTTCTGCAGAGCTGGTGATGCACGTTTAGAACCTGTTCAGGTGTGTCATGGATGCACATTTAGAAGAATTTCAAGAAGCACATGCTCATAACACTTTTCTCTTCATGCAATGGAATGAATATGTCACTGCTATATATCATGTAGATACTTGTCAGAAAGGTGAGATAGTAGGGCAGATGCAAGTGTATTTTGGACTCCCATCTAAGTTTTCTAGCTTACAAAAATTTAGGCTCTTTTGAAAGTCAGAATTTTAATGAATTTCTATGTTATCTTAGATAAAGTGTTTAAAATGTTAATTTTTATGCCATCATTTTTCTCATGGAGGCAGGGTTAGGAAATTCTGTTTTTAGATATCTTTTGAACTGATATGACAAAAAATACTGTTTGCACATTTGCTATCGCTTTGGCAAAGAAAAACTAAGATTTATCTGTGAGCTTTCTAAACACCCATCACACTTCTGGGAATATTCTGTGGATAAAATACATGCTGAGAGATGAAGGAGAAGGTTGCCACAGATATGTCTACAACTATATTCCATGTAGCCAGTTCCCACTGTGTTATCATGAGACAGTACCCTGACAAGATCTGCTGTTTTAGCTTAGTTGTGCTATGCCAAGTCCCTGTGCACCCAGGTCTCAGATCCCAAGTTTCAGACCTGCCAATCAAAGTGAGAATGTGCAAACTTGCTGTACCCCAGAGTCTGGAAACCAGGTGCAAAACAAGTAAAACATATTTGACCTTGGAATGTTTAGGCAACTCTGAGTAGTTTAGGTGGGATTTCATCTCAGCGTATTTGAAGATATAGAATTGCAGTATAGGTGTGGAGATGGGAAAAAAAGCTATAAGAAGCTGCTTAAAAATGAAAGCCTGTTTTCCATGGACTCCCAGAAAGTAGCACTGTGAACGAATCCTTCTAACATGGAGTTTCTTCACCAAATTGGATGAACAGACTGATGCTTTAAAAAGAGTAAATACAGTTGTATGCCTGCACACCTTTCTCTTTTTAACTCTTTTTAAATTTCCTGAGCAACTAATCATGACTTACTCCAACAAGTCCCTTAGCAAGAGGTACCAGGTGAAACCTATGGGCAGATGTGAGAAATTGCTTTGTGGAAAGATGCTATAGAATGAGCATTTGCAGGATGCAAGCACAGTTTTACTGTTTTATGGGAGGTGTCTGCAGGCTGTTCTTCTTGAGCCACTGTGTGCTCTCTTCTTAGGTGCATTTCCCCATTCTCTTAATAGACTGGCAGACAGATGAATTTTAACAGTTCCTTCATTCAGCCATCATGAACCTTCCAGCAATCTGTCATCACAGGGGAGACAGGCAAGACTTCTGCAAACACTACTGTTTTTCTGAAAAAAATTTGCAAGGTCACATTCTGGTGAGGCATAAAAACATGAGAGCAGCTCTGCTTGAAGTGATGTTAACTGCTTGCTCTGTGCCCTCTTGGGCTGCTGCTTAGGGAGGCCAGACAACAAGATGGGACTGGGCACCTCGGCCCCAGTAGGGCTTGCAAGATTTACCATGAGTGTAGCAGGATTTCTCACCTGTGTGGCCACAAGATCTTTGCTTTAGGAGACTTGTCCTAAGTGATAGTGTAACTTTAGATATTACACCAAGGAAGGTGTAATAGATTTCTTTCTGCCACAAATTTCTTTCTGCCAACTTATTTTCCAATGTTTCATGTCATCTGACCACTTCCCACAGCTATTTCTGCAAGATGTGGCTACCTGACCCACAGCACAGCTGAGAAGCTTGGAAGCTTTTTAGACACAGATTACAGGGCCTTTGCAGTAAAGATGCTGTTTTTTCTATGCTCTAGAGAGATAACTGGCTTTTTTTTAGCAATCCCTAGCAGTTGTTCCAAAGTGCTGATGAAGCTCAGAATATCAATTATGTCTCTCTCAATTAGAGTATTTTGTAGTTGCTGGAACAATACTTAGAAATATAATTGGTCCATGAATTACAGAGTTTTTAAAAGGTTTGAATGTAACCATTTACCTGGCAGTATTTATGAGTCCTGTGGACCCTTTAGCACCTGCCTGCACTGCTGCAAGAGCCCACCAACCCCTTGGACAGGGCCTGCTTGCCACATAAATTCAGATATTAAATTGAGGGGGAGGAAACGCTGCTAGTATTATCTTCCAGTAAAGACAGCAAAGGTCAAAGCGACCTTGTGGGTCGACTGCTGCTGATTTTAGCAATGGGGACATTACCTCATTTAGGCTGCACAGCCTGCTTTCCTGAAGGATCATCTCCCACCTCTGAGTATTTCTACACATCATTAAAAGTAATGCATGATTAATTACCAGCATTTACTAATTAACTTCATGATTAATATTTATTTTACTCATGCTCTATTTCTGCTTGAGGAATCAAGATTTGATTCTGCTTGGTATCATTCAACCCCTCCTCAGATCATTACAGGACCATGTCACAACTCACTGCAGTGCTTTGTGGCTGGTAGTGTGAGGGCACATTCACAAAGGACTGCTGTGACAATGCCATCAGAAATCACTGACTGCAACACCGTAAGTTCACATTTTTAGCAGAACTAACTCACCCTCTGGATTATTTGTTCCCCAAGCTTTAAGATCCCCAAAACCCATCTGAGCTTGGTTTTATCAGTCCAAACTGGTTAACTGGAAATGTAAGGCTTATAATTTCTCTGCTTGTCACATTCCCTTTGTGTCAATTGAAACAAACTTACAGAGGGATTTGCTAATTAGATGTCTTTTGCCTCTAGGGAAAAGTCATAAAAATGATGGAAATCATCTTGGTTTCCTGGAAGGTTGATCTGAATGAAGGGTTTGTTTGCCTCTCTCTTTTATTCTCCATTGTTCTGGGAAAGATTCCTTTCTATTGTCTATCTGAATGCAACATACACATAGTAATGAAAAACCTCATAGAAACTCAACACTCTCTTTGTTTAGGAAGTACTTAGAAGTTCCAAATTCTATATAAGTTTAATCAGGTTTGTGATACTTCTACAGAGCCTCGGCTGAAAATCTGTAACTGGGCCTGGTAAAGTCTAACTTTACCCTTTTGAAGGAATGTAGTCCAGTCAATGAGAGATGCTTCTGAAGTAAGACTTAAGATTTTTGAACTGAAGACTTGATGTTTTTAACTAGTCCAAGAAATTCCTCACACATTTTCCAAGTTTTTGATCAGCCATTTTATTTGTTGCATAAGATCTATTACTTTTCTGTGAAGAAGTAAAAAAATAAAAACGAAACAAAAAACCCAACAAAAAACCCCCCACAACAACAACAACAAAAAAAGCTTGTATCTACTAAATAAAATATTATTCATCCCCTTCTGGTTTTGACCTAAAGCCAAATTAAACTCAAGGATTTCAAGTTGAATTTTGCTCCAATTGTTTTCATTCAACTTCATTTGCTCAAGGGAGAGGAGAATAGAAGGCTGAGCTCATGAGAACAGGAGCCCTAAGAGAGCAAGGCCACTTCATCTGCTACATGTGGGCATGTGTCCTATTTAGTCTTGGCTTTGGAGGCAAGGATAACACAAGGGATCGTGAGAGCTTCACCCTCCACTTTACATGAACAACCAGTAGTCCATATTTTTAAGGCTCTGGATACATCAGTGTAGATACAACCCACAATAGTGTTTGCTTGTGGAAACCTCAGGGCCTTTTTAGTCCTTGTTCTTTAAGAATTGCTTTGAGGATGGGATCGCCTTCTCCTTTTTCACGTCTCTACACTCTTTTTCAATAATCCAAGAATTGTGATTAGTCACAGTTTAAGGGGTGGTGGTGGTATTTGCCCTTACTTGTCCTAATTGGAGCACACCTTAGATCATTTTCTTTGCTGGAACTTAACAGACTCCTTTTTTGTCTGACCAGTCTTCCTTCCTACTGAATACTGAGCAGTCCCTTCTCCAGTACCAGCTCCTAGGATGTTTTCCCTGTAGGATTACTGATCAGCACTGCACCAAGGGATGTGCCACCACAGAGGAGCTCCAGGTGCTGATGTGACTGCCCCCTTGCAAACCATTCCATTACACCAGCCCTTCCAATGCCTACAGCTTAATATGCATTCATCATCTGAAATATCTCCGAGGGACAGAGGTGGTATTTCAACTAACCTGGCAGCTCTGCATGCAGAGATCCTGAAATAGATTCTCCTCTCATTTTCTCCACTGTAAGCCCAGAGAAATTTCATTTATTTTCAGGAGAGTATAACTGAACTTACAGCAGCATAGTTAGAAGCAGGATATGACTGTCTACCTTTTTTTTTTTTTTTTTTTTAAAGCATGGGCACCATGTGGATTCAATAAAAAGCACGTGTTAAAATTTCAGATAGAATACTATTTGAGAAAGAAGCACCAGGACCAAAAGAACTAATGTCTTTTTTGACATTAGTTATAAAAAACTCTTATTAGCATTCACTGCTGAGTGAGTAACTCACATATCTAATTTAGCCCCTGAAATTTCTCAAAGAAAATGTGTTTTCTTTATTAAAAGAGTATTTTCCTAAACCTCTGTGTTTGCCACTATGGAAGAAAAGAAGAACACATTTTGGTGAGGCAACTTCTCTCTTTTCAAGTGTGAAGGAAGTATTTTACAAATGTTTGTGAAATGAAGAGAGAAAACCTAGAGTAGCTTTTGGTAATGGGTACAAACCAGGACTTGAATTTTACTTAGATCATAAGTGACAACAATTCCAGCCTTTTGGAATCTGTAATAATAGAAACTGTTCCATAGTGTAAGAAAATAACAATGTGACCTTTCTCTCAAAGCTCTCTATAAAAATAATATTTGGATGACAGCTTTTCTTGATATCTCCATTTTGGTCACATTCCCTCATACAAGGACTTCTGAATTAAATATTCTGGATAAAAACTTGAGTATG